ATAAAACTGAATTGAATTGAATGAGATTGTAAAAAGTGATACTTTTGATAAGATAAAAAAAAACACCCCATGTCATTCTCTCAAAAGCCTATTTCCCACGATGTTGAAGCATTAGTTTGATGCACAGTACTTGGTATTATGGTCAGGTTTTACTGTAGTTGCAGGAAGCACTAACCTGTATTCGGATCTCCCTTAAGTTCCTCGTTATGTTGATAGAGTGTGGCTGTCCATTGGCCATATTACGATGGTCAACATCTATGGTGTAAGGTTCTGCTAGCCCCCCAAGACTGTAGCGGATCTGGAGAGTGCCTGGACGCACGAATAGAGACACAAAGTAACACAAGATAATACTGTAACAGCAATTCATAAAATATACTTTTAGTATAAATTAATATTAAAAAACTGAGGTGCGATATTGACAAACCCACCATTGTGCCTCAGCACCACAGCCAAGTAGTCCTGAGTCCTGGAGCTGATGTAGACCAGGATGCTTGGAGCACTGGAGGTGCTGAAGCTGAACACCAGTTCCTCCTGAGTCAGGTTGGTCTCGCTAGGAACACCAACACCTGACAGGCTCTTCTCCTCCCGTAATGCAAAAGCTCCCGCCTCTGGCAGGAAGTCATAACGCACCAGGGTTCCTGTCTCAAAGTAGCCACCTACATCTAGCACACATACAGAAAGAGCAGCAGAGAGAGAAAAGGTGGTTAAAACAGCATGCACTGGTTAATCCATCTTGGTTGTTGCATGTAATCCAACCTCCATCCATCTATAAGCTTTACCATCCTTTGGAGGATACATATTCACATTCACACGACAATTTAGAGTCAGCAGTTACCATCAGTGCAGAAGGGTCCGTCATAAGCAGTGAGGGAGCAGTCACAGGAGTATCCATTGTACTTCTCCAAACACTTCCCTCCGTTCCTGCAGTGCATCGCATAGCTGCTGCAATGGCCCTGGCAGCCTGGGTTCACCCCCTGAGTCCCTTTTGCCCTCCCCTCCAGGTCAAAGGTCATACCATTGACCTTCAGAGCCCGCATGCAGCCCAGGAAACCCCTCTGACCACTTGAGGCTCCTGGCAAGTAACACATAAAGCACAACATCAGTTCAGCAGTTCAGTTTTGTCTAAAATTATATCAGAGCAGGTTCCAAAGACATTTTATCCTGGTCTGAAGCAATACTGGCACACACAAATAAAGACTAATGGGCTAAATGGGATGGCTGTGGTACAGAGGAAGAGCGGGTCGTCCCCTAATCGGAAGGTTGTTGGTTGGATCCCCGGCTCCTCCTGCCACTTGTCGAAGTATCCTTGAGCAAGATACTGAACCCCAAATTGCTGTATCGTTGTGTGAATGTGTATGAATGAGTTAGTTTCTGTTCGATGGACTTTGCCACCACTGACTGAATGTATGTGAAAGGGCGATTGTGGCACGTAGTGTAAAAGCGCTTTGAGCGGTCGGAAGACTACAAAGGCGCTACACAAGTACAGGTCCATTTACCATTTACCATTTAATTACAAGTTAAGTAGTTAATTAAGTACACCCTTTTGATTCCTGCCTCACAGTCACTGGCTCTTTAAAAGTTGTGTGAATCATCAGAAGAGCGGTTCTCGCTGTCACTAACGCCAACGCAGTTCCCTGCTGCTGCTTCCTCCTTATGTACAATATTTTGGTAATATTGATTTAACTTAAACCTAATGTTTATGTATATTTGTTTAAGCAGGGATCAGTTCCCCACCAAAGTCCTTGCTCACATTCTTTGTTATTTTTTTCAGCTTTTTCTCACATCCGTCAAAGGCGGGGTTCTTCTTAACAAATTATTTACCAGCTCCAACTTTATGCAGTTTATCCTGTCAACAGTTGAGTTTCAAACAGGAGTGAGTCAGGGGTTAAAATAGAATTAAAATTTTACTAGGATAACATAAAATATATTCCAAGTTTTTTGGTCATTTTAATCAATTTCCAGGGCTTTCAACCCCCACTAGGGGTCCACAAATGTCACTACTCTACTTGGGGTCAAATTTTAACCAGAGCAAGATTGTATCAACATTAATATTTACTTAATGTTCAGATGTTTAGGCAGTTATAAACTTTCTTAACAACCTGAACCTGTCACAGAGAAATTGTACTTGAAATTGAGAAATACATAGTTATTATTAACTGGTACGGTTTGATCATCAAGTCTTTATGACAGGGAGTCACACATTCAGCAATTTTAGACCTCTGCTGATAGACGCTAAAGGTGTATGACATTACATGTGACAGCTGTGGAGAACATATCAGATGTATGTGTGTGTCTTACCAACATATAGCTCACTGTAGAACTCCAGTTTTGTGTGTCCCTGTGGGGGGATCGGTCGGACCTCCCTGTACTGTCCATTAAGCTGCAGCACTGCCTCTTTGATGTTTTTCTCAGCCTCCACGCGATGCCATTGGTCATCGTTCAGAGGCGCCGGCGAGTGGATGCTGAGCTCCATCCGCTCACTGCCCATGTCGAAAGAGAAGGAAACCACCGAGCCTCCTGGGAGGGCAAAATCAGCCAGAAACATTTTAAGACTCATTAAAGACTGGAATCAATGCAACCAAAATCTCTTTAAAAAACTCAACAAGAAAACTTTTTTAAATTATGTGTATCTTAGGCCCTGTTTACACCTAGTATTAACATGAGTCTTGGGTGATCCGATCACAAGCTGAAAGCTCCAATTAGGTCAGTTCACACCTGGAATTCGAATGCGTCTCCACATGCGTCTTGAGTGACCACCCTTTGATCAGATCTCACTTCCCCACTCTATATTCCATCGAACACTACAGGGCTCTACCCAATGTCCATTATTACTGTCCAGATGGCTGTTGAATACAAAGATTTGACTATTTGTTCAGTCATACTAAACTTCTATATTAGCCTGAGTCTCATGGTTTACCTGCACTGCCAGCAGCCCTGCAGGAGAAACCTGTGGCTGTGGGACAATTTTTTATACACAAATAAGTAACTAATTAAAACTGCAAGCAATGATGAAATGGGCCCTCGCACTCGGCGCGCGCCAGGGTGTGCTGTGGGCGCGTCAGGTGCCGGCCTAACACGTTCGCACCACAATCTGAAATTTTTCCGTTAATCAGATCAAAATTGCCACGCAG